CGTTGAGGTCTGGAACTAGTTCCAGATTCCAGTTCTGGTGTTGTTGGCAGATTTCCTCCAGTACTGAGCTCTACTTCTGTAGGCAGACTTTCATCAGCTGTCTGTCTTGAAACCTCGAGATCTGTTGAAGTTTGCACAATCAGATCTTCTCCATTTTCGAAATCTGCAGGAATTTGTTGCCCAGATATTTCTGTCCAAGACCAAGTGCTTGCTTCATCAAACACTACATCACGACTAATGATGACCTTCTTGGTTAAAGGATTGTATAATCTGTAAGCTTTGGACTGATCACTAACACCAAGGAAAATACACTTTTCCCCTTTGTCATCAAGCTTACTCCTTCTCTGATCTGGCACATGTGCATATGCTATGCACCCAAAAATTTTGAAGTAATCAACAGTAGGTCTACGTCCACTCTAAGCCTCTTCTGGCATCAAATCTAGAAGTGGAGATGTGGGACTTTTGTTCAAGATATAACACTCCAATTAACAGCTTCTGGCCAAAACTCCTTAGGCAAGCCGCTCTTTGACATCAGACTTCGCACCATATTCATGATTGTGCGATTCCTCCTCTCACATACACCATTCTGCTGAGGTGTATAGGCTGTTGTGAGTTGCCTTTTAATGCCATTGGACTCACAAAAATCTACAAATTCCTTTGAATTAAACTCACCACCACGATTTGTCCGTAGAACCTTTACAGATCTGCCAACCTCATTCTCAGCCAAGACTTTGAAATTTTTAAAGGCTGTTAAGGCTTCTGACTTGGTCTGCAAAAAATACACCCATGTTTTGCGACTGTAATCATCAACAAAGGTAATAAAGTATTGTTTGCCTCCATTGGATGTTGGATTTATGGGTCCACACAGATCAGAACACCAGATCTAGCACCTGCTTTGCTCTCCAAGATCTGTTTTTAGGAAAGCTGTCACGGTGCTATTTACTGACCACGCAGATTTCACAAATTTCTGAAGGAGAATCAAAATGAGGAAGACCATTTACCATCTTCTTCTGCTGCAAAGCTTTCAACCCACCAAAATAAAGATGTCCAAATCGGCAATGCCATAACCAAGTTGTGTCCTTTAATCTGGCAGATAAACATGACAGATTTGTGGTCTGCACGTATAATGGAAACAACCTATTTCTCGTCATCTTGACCTTTGCAATCAGGTCAAGCTTTGAATCACGAATTTGGCAAACTCCATCTTTAATAAGGATTTCATATCCTTTTTCCTGAAGCTGTCCCAGACTAAGCAGATTTGACTTCAAATTTGGTACATACAAAACATTAGAAATAGTCTGAATTGAATTGTCTTTGGCACGAATGGTTACCTTTCCCCTTCCCTTGACTGCAATAGTGGAATTATCACCAAATTTCACCTTGTCTTGACAAGACTCATCCAAATCTGAAAACGCAGATTTGTCTCCACACATGTGATTGTTGCAACCAGTATCCAGATACCACACATTCTTCTTGCTGACTTCTTTCGGATGACAGACCATGAATAGAGAGGAATCGTCATTCTTCTCATTGTATTCTGCAAAATTGGAACTTTCTCCTCTATTCAGATTAGCACGGCACTCAAAACGATAATGGCCATACCTATGACATTTGAAGCATTCAATATTTGCCTTTCCTACAGATTTGGATATGTTATCTGCAGCTTGATAATTTCTGTTCTGCCACCTCTTTTGAATTCCAGTGGCTGAACTTTCCTCCAATCTGTCAGATCTCGGTCTGCCAAATTTTGGTCTGCCTTTCTAGATTTCTTTTCCTCGACCTACAGCCCTTGAATTAACTGTGGTTTGCAAGGCTTGTGTCTGCGAAATCTGCACTGCTTGCTCTTGCTTGTCTTGGCGATTTATCTTCCGCTCATGAATTAACAATGAATTCTGCAACTCATCAAGAGAAAGAGCCTCAATATCATTTGACTCCTCAATTGAACAAACAACATAATTGAATTTTGTTGTCATAGACCGAAGGATTTTGTCAACTATAGCAACATCCTCCAGATTTTCACCATGGATCCTCATCTTGTTTGCAATAGCCATCGTCCTTGCAAAATAATCATTTACAAATTCACCAATCTGCATCTGCAGAACTTCGAATTCTGCCCGCAAAGCCTGGCGCTGTTGTCGCCTTGCTCTTTCATTCCCTTGGTACTTCTTCTTCATGGAATCCCAAATATTCTTGGAAGTAGACTTGTTAAGAATTGTTTCCAAGATAGCCCGATCTATGGCTTGGAACAAATAGTTCTTAGCCTTGAGATCCTTCAATTTTTCCTTCTCAATTTCTGCCCTCTGTGCATCATTTGCACCTGTCGCTGGTTCTGGAACTCCAGCTTCAACAATGGTCCAATACTCTTTGGACCGGAGAAAATTCTCCATCAACATACTCCAATGGTCGTAGTGATGACCATCAAAACGAGGGATTGAGGGCTGGACATAATTTTCGGAAGCCATGGAATTTTTCGTGAATAGGCTCTGATACCAAATGTTAAAAAAATCAAGGATTCCGAAAAGAAGAAGATGGAATGAAAAACTGAATTACTCATTAAACTGAAAATAATCTATCCTTTAAATAGGCTTTACAAGATAATATTATCTAAAAAGATAACTATCCAATCTTATCTTATCTAATTTAAATGATAACAACCTAAAACAAATAAATAACTTAAACTTCCTTATATATAGAGATAATAGCTAAATAATAAGATCTAATTTCCAACAAATTTTGCAGATGATGGAGGTGCTGAGTGGAGAAACTATTCTTGATCTGCAACAAAACAAGAGAAAATCAGTGAAATTTCTTGGATTTTGGAGAGTAATAAAAGAGGGAAAGCACAGAAACAGAGACCTGAAGGAGAAAAAGGGAGCAGGGAGGAGACGAAGAGCAGCTATGCCATAAGAACAAACTATGAAGATTTGGTTGCTCATCCCCTTCATAGTAGCAGCCTTGAACA